GGGGGGGGGGTATAGGGTGGTCCCGGGGATTTTCGCACTTTGGTGGTTTGTTGAACTCGGACCACCACCCCGTAGCCCCAGTCGCGTGCGCACCCCCCGCGGGACTGCATTCATTTTTTTCGCGTGCGCGCGCGTGCAGCGCGTTTAAACGCGATTGAACGCGGGGCTCGGGGGGTTGAACATGCGCGTTTGAATGTGAACGTGCGTTCACGGCGTTCAACCGGTTACACAGTTGCACCACATCTAACCACTTCCATTCTCGTGGCTTCATCCGAGCGTAGGAGTGACCCATCCCCTGCATGTGTGCATCCTGGTCACGTTTGGCCCTGATGAGAGCTACAATGTGTTCGATGGACCAGAAGTGTCTACCTCCTTCCGCGTCACCGTCCCCCACGACATCGCTCCCCTTCCCCGCCATTTTTTTGCACCGACGACCATTGCGGGCATACGTCTTCGTCTTCCCTCCATTGCCTGCCATGTTGTCTTGCCTCAACGGCTAAACGTAGCCTTCGTCTTCCTCCCCACCCTCTCCGTCGTTGTCGTCGTCGTTGTGATCGTCCGCGTCCAGAACCGGTGCCTCCTTTTCCTTTTCTTGCTCCCCCATACGCAGTCGCTGCAGCCCTCGAATTATGGATTCCTCGCGCCCCGACCGGAGCTCTCGCCGGTGTTCTTCCCACACCTCCCTCCCGTCACGTTCGTCACCGATATCGGCGAAGCCAGCATCCTTCTCCCCGCATTCGCCACGACGGCGGGCCGCAGTCGAACTGGCGTACAGGGGAGACGGAGACTGCATCCACGGGGGCCGAGCAGAGGCACCCCTCAACACAGACAGCGACCAGAATTGCTGGCCGCTGTCGTCATCAGGGTGGGGACACACGACAACGTTTTGCGAGGTGGCCGACGACCTCCCACTACACAGCCCGAATGACAGATTCACGCCGTCATCGCCTTCGTCTCCGCTGAGCCCCTGGTGGAGGAGTTCCGTGTACAACTGCCGATACGCGCCGTCGCGGCTCCCGCATAGCTCTGTGGCCGCCCACTCCTAGGTGGACCCACTTCCCAGCGGCACTGTCCGAGACCGTGTGTCATTCGCCTCCTCGTTCGACGTATCAGGCAGAGGTTGCAAGTGCGACGGCAAGTGCGCGTATCCAGACCGCTCCAACGGCCCTGAACTCCTCGACGGGGTTTGCCCAGCCCGCTGGCCACCGCCCTGCTCCCCCGCAGACCTGCAGGTCGCCTAGCGCCCCTCCATCCTAACGTCCTTCAATGATTGCCGCCTTTTGCGCGCACATTGTGGAACGCTACCGAGGATGCACATGTGGAACACAACTACAACGACGAGCAAAAGGACGAGCAGCACCAGCAACGGCGGCCTCCGGAAGACGTCGGCCATGAAAGGCACGTGGACGATGGCAGCAGCTAGAAGACAACGGTGGATGCCGAGGAAACGGCGACGAACAGTGCTCCAAACGGCCGATCGCAGATATCGACAAACGAAGGGTAACGTATCCCGTCGAGGAAGACACTGCGCGATCGGGAGAGTGGGGGCTGGCTGAAGTATTCGAATCTGCCGACCGTTGGGCGTCTTCCCGCTCGGGGCCAAGGGCACCGACGCGATACAGCCCCTTCTCTACGTCTTGGAGGCCGGCGGGCCGCCAACGGTGACCGTTGGCGGACAATTCCATGACGCTGAACGTTGCCGACCGAAGATGTCCGTCGACAGGCCGCCCGGAACAGAAATGGACCAGCTAGTTTGAGATTTGTCGTCGAGAGGCCTGCCGTCGACGCCCCGATTCTTCCGGATGCTCGACCTCCGAGGGACCTCGGGAGGTCCCATGGGAAACACGTCGAAATGGCTGTAGCCCGAGGAAATGTTTTCAATTTTTTTTTTCAATTTCTTCCCCGAGGATAAGTGGAACGATGAATTCCTCGGGGGATTTACACACCCGAGGAGTGTCTAACGAGCCCCCAAGTTGTACAAGGAAAACACGTGAACTTAGAGCTGGATCCTGTGGCCTGACGGTCACTGTTCCCTTTCTGCCAGAAAATCGTTTTTTTTTTTTTTGGGGGGGGGGGGGGGGCGGACAGGAAACGTTTTTGGATCCCACCGCAGCCGAACCTCTTTTTTTTTTTTTTTTTTTTTTTTGGGGGAAAATAGTAAAATACTCAATATATTGCAATATGAATGGAAAGGGAGGCCGGGGACCTCACAGTTCGACCCAGATGAAATGCTGGGGCCATTACCCAGATTCGGCTGATGCTGGAAACCGGGTCCAGCGTCCCCTATAAAACCATCCAAACTAACAGACCTTCCAAAAATTAAACCTTGAAGCACGCAAAAATTTAAGACCGCTCATTTTAACTGCGGGTCTCTCAAATGCTCTGAACCGCCTTGGTCTATAACAGCCACTCTGCAGTTCTCAGTTTCCCTTCCGGTGATATCCTCGCAAAATGGGAATCTTTGGCCCACGTCTTTGTGAACCATCCCGAACCTTTTCTCTGCCAATCCACTCCTAACACTAATCTAATACTCTGCTTAATTCGATTAAATGTCTGTTGGTAGGTTACTGTTTCTCCTTTGAACACTCTTGCATTCCGCATTACCCAAAGTGCTTCCATTACTATCCCTCTGCAAACTAAAAGCCATATACCATATTCCTGTGGACAGCACGCCCCTTGTCGGGCTTAGACCATATAATATAAACTTGTCAGACCATACCTCCTCTACTGACCACAGACCCTTCCAGTTTTCTTTCCACCATTCCCAGACCGTGTCAGAGAATGGACAGAGTAACCACAGGTGAGCGCTGTTTTCCCAACCCCATGAGCATCTTACACAGGTAGGCGGCAAGTTCATCCCTTTGGAAATCAACCATGTAGCGGACACCATTACCTGCAAGGACTGCAACCACATCAAGGCCGCCTGTTTCTGTGAAGGCACTTTTTTCAGGGCCCCGCAGAACTCGAACAGCAGTCTGTTCATGGATGTGACAGTCACTATTGGCTTTTTTGCAACTTCGGCTCGATGTACCCTTACTCCCACCTTGGTCTTGTACTGATACAGAGCAGTCACTCGACCTTGTTCCACAGGGGGGGACCAGCCTAGTACCAGTGGTTCAATACCCCCAAGTGTAACCTTGCGAGGAAGTAAATAGGCTGCGGCCTTCTTGTTCTTCTTCCGTTCCCAGACTCTTGAGTTCTTTAGCCTCCACTGTGGTCATCACCGTCTCCTCTCCACTGACTGTGAGGACCTCTTCACTCCCCCTTCCTTTTGTCCAGGTCAGCACTTTGGTACCTCCCCTGAGTTCCAGGCCTACGACTTGCCATAGAACTGAGCGGACCAGTTTCGGAAGGGAACAGTGGCAGTCTTTTCACACTGCCAGGAACTGCTGCTATTGGGGACTCCGTCGTTTTTGTATGGACAAAAGTTGGGAGGGGAGGGGGAGCGGGGGGGGAGGAGGGAACGCCACCTTTGGAAACGTTACTTTTTCTGTTTCCTCCTTTCGTCCTTTCTTTTTGTTTAAAAAAACTAAGCTGAATTCTTCTCTCAATTTCACCTTTCACTACCTACCTACGACTACAACTAAGCCTATATAGGGGACCCCTGCTAGCATAGCTACTTCTCAGTGTTCTGCCCTAATCGGTGGTGGTCAGGGAGTAGGGGGGGGGCACCGCAGGGGGAGGGGGGA